GAGTGAGTGGGGCTCGCGGGGGGGTGGCGGGTGGTCTCCCCACCCCGCGGCAGGCACCCCTGGACCCCGCTGACCCCCACCCCCCCGCAGAGCTCAACGGCATGGTGCTGCTCTGCAAGGTCTGCGGGGACGTCGCCTCCGGCTTCCACTACGGCGTCCACGCCTGCGAGGGCTGCAAGGTAGAGAGATGGGGCCGGGGATGGGGCACGGAGCCCCTGTCACACTGAAGGGACCCCCGGTGATTCCTCCCCCTCGCCCTGCAGGGCTTTTTCCGCCGCAGCATCCAGCAGAACATCCAGTACAAGAAGTGCCTCAAGAACGAGAACTGCTCTATCGTCCGCATCAACCGCAACCGCTGCCAGCAGTGCCGCTTCAAGAAGTGCCTGCTGGTCGGCATGTCCCGTGATGGTGAGCTCTGAGGGACCCCGGTGACGTCCTGAGCTGGGGATTCCCTCTGGGGGTGGGATTCCCCGTGCCCAGGCAGCTGCTCCGTTCCCGGGATGTATCCAGGGCTGTACATCCCCTCTGGACCTCTGGAGCTGGGTCCCCCTGCCTGTGCTGGGCTGTCCCCAAGGATGTGTCCCCCCTTCCTGGGACCTCCCCCATATGTGGGGCTGCGTGTCCCTTCCAACACCGGGTGCCTTGTGCCCAGAGCTGCACGTCCCCTCCCGGGATGGGTCCTCCATGGATCCCCTCCCACAAAGGGTCCCCCAACATCGAGGCTATCTGTCCCTTCCTTGAATGCTTTTCCCCCGTGCTCAGGTCCCTACATCCCCTCTCGGGATGGGTATCCCTCTGTTCAGTGCTCTATGTCCCCTTCAGGACCGGTCTTCCCATTTTTAAGGCTGCATGTCCCTTCCTGGGATGAGTTCCTCCCGTGCTCAGGGCTGTGTGTCCCCTCCAAGCCTGGGGGAGGGATGCAGCCCCGCTCCCATTAGCCCCTGTCCCCTCATGTTGCAGGTCTGGAGGGGCCAGGGTGGGGGTCACCCTGCCACTGATGCCCCCCTAACACCGCTGTCCCCCCTCAGCCGTGCGCTTCGGGCGCATCCCCAAGCGGGAGAAGCAGCGGATGCTGGCGGAGATGCAGAGCGCCATGGGCGGCATGGCCAGTGCCCCACCGCCGATGCCGGGGCCCGGCGAGGGT